AGACCTCGACGAGGGTGTTCTGTCGTCGGAGAGCGTCGCGAGCGAGAGACTTGAGTTAGAAGCCGGAGGGTGCGTAATAAAATCTGAGTAAATTCACGCATACATGAACTCATTTAACCGAAGGAGGGAGCCGATATCTGGTGCCTCTGTTGGACTCTGCGTAAAGGTATCATGCAATGCAGACAGAGGAGCGTCCCTCTTCACAAAATACCGCGCTAAAGTCGAGCGGTCCCCCTTCCCCGACGTGCTAAAAGAACATTTCATAAAACATATGTATACGTGGTTCTCCGAGGCTCAGAAACAAAGAAAACCGGTCAAGAATCTCAATGACTTGATTCTCATCACCGGCCGCGTGATGACAGGCGATTGGGCGACGATTGCCTTCAGCAGTCGAAGTCAAGAGCACGCAGCGTCATTCAATATCAAGGCAGTCACCGTCAATGCGTCTGGCACATTGTGGGGAAGATGGTCCGAGAATCTCACTCTTCCAAAGCGACACGGGCCACCTCGACCAACACCGATCCCGGACGGCGAAGAGCCTCCATACGACCAATGTATCTTCATCGAAACATTCAGAGCGTTTGATCGACCGTGGTACGAAAGGTTGAAGACAGCGATCACTGTAAAACGAAAAGATGGTTCCAGAGCGAAGCAGTTGCCCAAAGAGAAAAGCATAAGCCCGACCGTTCAGAGCGAGCTCGACTTGAAGCTTCCTTCTCAAGATGATGATCTTGCAGATATGCCGGTAAACAGTATTATTCATATATATGCGCGCGGTGTCCAACCTTTGAATCTCACAGGAAGTGGTGTCTGCTTATGGAGCCGTAGCCTTTCGAGCCTTTGAGGTAAGGATAACTTGCGTCCAAAAATTTGACGGAGACTGAGGAAGATTACAGTCGACGGACTTGGATTTGGACATCATGTGTATTGACGAGGAAGACATCAAGCGAACTGGCTCAGTATGCATGACCCTCGTCTTTTATGACGGTCTTCTGAAAATCTAATGTATAGGATTTTGGCACGTATTCAGTCTTCATTGAAGACTTGAAGGGCGACGAAGACCTCGTCGTTGAAAAATACAGTAATTTGAGGGAACCAACCCAGCTGAAAAGTATGTGCCGCCTTTCTACGTCTTTATTGCTTACAATTTATTCGTACTACAGTCGGTCGGATAGGACGATCTTTAGAGTCTCTATACCATATATTCAATACCACAACTTCACTCAGTGTCATCGACGATGATGGTACCTCCTACCCTGTGGATTGGGATGAACTCAAAGACATGTACGTCTTTCAATACGCGGATCGACATGCTCTTCTGACAGGATTCGATAGAGAACGCCTTTTACGTGGGAATCCTGGATTGGAAGACGAATTGGAACGCAGTCTCTCTGAGGCAGGACCAGACCGAATCTCTCTTGCCACTACTGGAGCGCTTCCACCCTCGGCTCAACCCCCTTCCCAGATAGATGTCTTGAACGACTACTTCAATTCGCTTTTAGCTAGAGGGAACCAAAGCACGAGTGCGCAGGTATCTGATATGCAAAGCACAGATCCCACCACCCATGATACGTGTCTAAATTGTGAAGGGGCTCTTGAGGCCGCGGAGAAAGATGGGGAGGGAGGCCCTTACTGCAGGAATTGCGGTACCTCAGTAGAAGAATCACAGGAACCCGAACCCGAAACTGCCAGCTCGCAAACTCTGAGCGGGTCCAAGATTCAAGAATACGCATTCCACCAGATCCTTCGAGGCTCAAACCATGGAGACAACAGCAAAGAATCTTCATCGAGCGAAGAGACCGCCTTAAATTCAACGACGACCGTAGGCACCTTCGACAACGATGATCGTGAAAGACAAGACGAACCCATCGTGGGCGAGACTCAGGCCTTTCCCTATGACCTCCCCCTTCCACCTCTGACAGTGACTCCCACGACGACACGACGTAACCCCCTCCCGATAGAACTGTCGGAGAGTCAGCGGAGAAACTTACTCTGGGAAAGACGGATGAGTAAGAGGCGAGCCTCGGAATCGTAAGTAAATGGAGGAGATTGGAGGCAGAATAGATGTTTTAGAGCTCCCCCGAAATCTTTGTGTTGCCTCGTACCGCGTCATTTGTTTCAATGCATCCTAAGAAGCAATATAGTGAAAGGGCTGTTCCAGTGTAGGCCAATGACGCGAGCAAAAATCGTATTCTCGTGCTTGCGAGCAACCCAATAGTCCAATTCTCGGCTCGCTCTAATAAGATACGACTTGTATACGTACGATGCAGGACACGCAACGAGTCAATGGCAGTCATAGCGAGTCTCCATAAATTTAATAAATTTTACAAATCAGTTATAACTTTATATCTTCCTCGAAGTCACTGTAAAGGTCAAGTGATCCCCTGGATAGACATGCTCAACCATCGCATAGTTTCTTCTTTCAAAACGCTTCTTTTCTGTAACAATCGTTTAGGCTCTTCTCAAAGTCCAAACGTGAGTCCAATTCCCCCCACGTCACCGCGTGATCTGGAGACTGCACCGTAGTCACCTCCTTGTGAGTATTATCCGGATAGACTGCGCGAACTATTACATAGTGGCGGTTTCGGGGCGGGTTGCCGCTGGTAGACGCTCCCACACGGAAGAATATGAAGGAACCTCCAGCGGTCTTAACGAACCCCTCATTAATGGGCTCTTGAGCGGATTTCTTCCGAACATAGGCAATCACTACATCCATTTCCGCCTATGGTGTAATGAGGTGTAGTTTTCAGTGTCCGCGTCTACAGTGATTTAACTGCAACTTACATCTGTTGGCCTGCTCGCAAGGTCTTGTCGAGCAATTGCAGCAAAGTCTAAATGAGGTTCCGACATCGAGTTCCTGTATGCCTGGGTCTGCTTGTGACAGTGATGAGCGAGGGTGCAGAGCTACAGTGGTAAAGACAGTCTTACTGATACTGTTATACTGTTTCTATCACTTCTTGCAGTTCGATTTGTCGCCAAACAGCTGAGGTTTTATACTGTTGAAAGTGACCCAAGCTAAAAGTGTTTAGTCCTCGTCCAGTACTGACATCTGTGCCACATACGAGAATGCAGCGGATCTGTCGATAACGTCATCGTTAACCACATATTTGCTAAACGCCCGATGAACAATGGGACGAGCTTCAATCGGATCTCATGATGACGAAGTAGACCTCTTTAGGACCATGACTGCGATGGTGTATGAGACGTAACGGAACCTCAAGCTGCGACGAAGCACTTACAGCTTGCTTATGTCGAAATTCGATCTCGAAAAGGAAGGGGGAGATGGGAAGAAGGCATCTGGCATGTCGGCGGAGGGTGCGCCTCTCAGTTGCTCAGCTACGACGCTTGACATTCGCCCCGCTTTTTGAATTTGAAGGCTGTTGGGAGGGCGGGCGAGGATAAATTGTCGTATTCACCAATTTGCCGTTTCACAGAGAAGCAGACGCGCCACCAAACAGCTTTCCGACTCGGACGACGAAAGCTCATCCCAGATCGGACTGTTCATGAATTCAAGGACTCTCAGGCTGCCGAACAAAGAAAACGAAATTAGAAACATACCGGAGTATCTGATGCCCGAAACACAAATTTCAGCATCCGTAATCAGTGCAAATATGGAGGGTTTCCAGAGGTCGTGGACAAAGACGAGGAGGGAGGCTTTCACTGCAGGGTTTGCGATAGATCAGTAGAGAACTTCAACTTTAAGAGTAGAAGCAGTCGGTTAACTCTCTGGAGATGGATGGACAAATGTCACATTTATTGTTCCAGTATTCGAAGTCCGCAAATAATTACTAAAGGGGATTAGAGCCCCCTCTTTTGTTTTGAGTCCCTACTTTACATGCCTTTCGTCCTGGCAGAAGCCAACATGGAGAGCGCACGGTTGCCCGCAGCAGCGGTGGCTATGCCCAGAATTGCGCCGTACGCGAGTACCTGCCCAAGCTTGAGTGCAACCCAGTACCAGAGCAGGAGGCCCTCGAACGCGCCGAGGAGAGCGGTGAATACGAGTACAGATGGGCTTGAAAGGAATGGAAGTGATTGGGGGATGGCAGCCCACTAATCGGAGAAAATATATCAGTAACATGCCCATGGTGATCTGATCCTCTTCTACTTACAAGACCCAGGAGGACAACCCACGGTGCGAGCACGACGCCTGCGCCAATCATTGAGATAATCTTAGGAGGAGAGGTTGGATCCGGGCGGAAAGTGTGCTTAATCTCGGGCAACGAATGGAATGAAGCCTCCTCTGGATGAGAGGGCGCGGGTTGCGAAGCCGGAAGGACCAGATCGAAGAGACGCGCATGTAAGGGCTCGTGCGTGAACGAGCCCAGAATAAGAGAGACGGTGAGCGGGTTTGGCTTGTCAAGCGCGTGCGTGCTGTTGGAAACCGCTGGCGTCGGGGGAAGAGACGGAGGAGGTTTGGCCATGTTCTGCAAGATGGTGTTAGCGACCACGGTACGAAATACATAGTTTTGTATTTCAGCAAATGAGGAGACGTACCAGTTCAAACTTTGCTTTCCCGCTCGACGTGACCCTCAACGGCTGGATGCCTTCCTCGCCAGACACTTCATCGTAGAACCGCAAGAAGGTCTGGTGCGGTTGTGCTGCGCTTCCGTCGTCGCCTTTCTTCGTCTTCTCGACGACATTGAACGACAGCTTCAGCACATCTTTCGAGTTTAGTTCCAGCGGTGCCTTCAATGGCTTTTCGATACTTATTCTATAAGAAAGATCCATGAGTATTGTAAGCTGAGCAGTACTCGCTCTCGAACACATACGATTCCGATTGCAGCAATGTTTTGTCCGACGACGAGATTGTTACATGGCCTGAACTGATTCCAAGCTTAGCAGCGTTTGCAAACGCTGCCAACAACGCGGTGACCGCAAGAATGGACCGCATCGAGTCGAAAGTGAGAAGGTGAGCGATGGAACGAAACGACGATCGCGACGTGTCACCGTGGACAGCAAAAAAGTTCCGAACGGATAGAGCAAAAAAACAAAAAATCCATAGGTGAGAACGTGAGTCGAACACGTGACCCTAGGATCTGCAATCCCATGCTCATACCACTGAGCTACCCCACCGACTTCGAAAAGTACCAAACGAATGAGTATATCCGTTTTGAAACGTACCGATCTTGAGATGGCGTTTGGGTTTGTCCAATTGTCTTTTAGACTTACAACCCACATATCCCTCAAGCATTAATATTGTCGTGGCCGCAGTATACAAAAGTTAGAGAAACACGCCGTCTTCAAACACGTAAGTATTTTGGCGAACGGCGCAGGAGCGGCTCTAATACGTATAAAATCCCAATTTAGAACGCTGTTGATTATTATGTATGTAAATTTGTCGAGTTGTAAGGTGGGGTAGCTCAGTGGTATGAGCATGGGATTGCAGATCCTAGGGTCACGTGTTCGACTCACGTTCTCACCTACGGGTTTTTTGCTTTTTTGTTTCGGCGTTTCGCTACTGTGGAGTTCGTCAGATCGACCTTTTCTTCGTAAGACACAATCAATGGCTTCTCATTATTGTTGTACGAATACTAGTAGTATAAGCCCTCTCGTATTGAACTATATTAAAAAACATCTCCAGGATGGGTGCACAATTTCGCATCCAAAGACCCGGGTGCCAATTGAAGTTCCATTACAATCACTGAGGAAAACAGACTGGAATTCAGATTATATGTTTCAATCTGACGTATTTGAATCGCTCTGGCCACTGCAAAGGGGCTTGAATAACATGATAAATACAAAGCAGTACACGAAAGGAATGGAAAGCTAGGAGAAAACGAATGCGTAGCCTAACAGCGAAAGGAAGAGTTAAGTGAATGACGATGTCTATAACTTTGCGGGCTTAAAGCCTCAGTCTCCCGAACAGTCCGTGAATGAGTGGCTCAATCTGCTTAGGCAGACTTGGGTTGGAGCTGATGGCAGGGATAGCACCCGTCGCGGTCGCCGTGAACTTGGGCTTCTCCACCGTAGTGAGCGGCTGTGAACCGAAACCTGGCTGTACTGGTCCAACTGGGAAGGGGTGGGCCTCGGTGTTGAAGACGACTGTGCAGTATCATTGTCAGATGCTGACGGAAAGGGTCTTGAATTTGGTAACTTACAATTGTCCAAGCTGATGTGCTCGGGATCATCGAAAGTGAGGAAACTGAAATTTGTGTAAGCTCATAGCCCTTTCGTAACACGATATATGCGTCACTTACAGGTACTTCATGACCTCAGCAAAGAAGAAACTCTCTTGGTCGTCAATGCGCGCGTCTGCATCCGTGGCCGTTGAGTCGACGTTGTTGAGGCCGGAGAACCCGCCATTGATCGTCAAGAACTTCTGGAAGCTTTGTGCCGCTGCCGCCGCGCGTTGCTGGTACTTAATATCGCCAGTGACGCGCCACGCGTAGAAGTTCGATTCGAGGACCTCAGGACGAAGGATGTAGTCCGAACCGCCGTTGAAGATATAGAAACCATGCTCTTTGTAGAACTGCAAGTCGGATGCAGCTGGTGCGTCGCCACCCGTGAAGTTGCCGTCGCTGGAGATCCAGGCGAACGTCTCAGGTCCAATACCGGTCCTAAAGTCAACGATATAAGCCAAACATTTCCGAATGCAAGCGCTGAATTCAACTAACGCAGTACTCTGGTAAGTGTTCCAGCAAGCATCGACGAGGTCAAGCGCGACATCTACAATGGTATTGTTGTTTAAGAGCTTGCCGCCGAGCAGCCAGTTGCCTCCGTGGAAGCAGGCAAGATGAGATCCAATGTGTCGAATCAAACCGTCGTCGTCGAAGTCCGCGAGGTACACATGGTCCCCGACGGTGGACACCTATATAATTGATTAGATAAATAAATGTGAATGGATATTGTATTATTATTCTTAAGGTGCATGTATGCGCAACATACCTTGCGAAGAGTCTTGATCGAGGAATCCACGGCAGTCCGCCATGTATTGATGAACGTCTGGTCAGCCATACCTGTCAAGCGCTGATACTTGACAAGATATTCGAAGTAACTGTCAGATCCACCACCCCATGTCTACATGTACAAGCATTCTTGTCAGCATTTTCCTCGGTGAACAAGACACACATCTTCTACTGACCACGTAAGCGCAATCGGACTCTCCGGTAGAGGGATCAATGCATTGGCCAGGCAAGCCGGGTAGGGGGTCAGGAAGTGCTATCATGTGTCGCACCGACTTTTCTGTGAGGTTACGGTAGGTGTCGTTCCCGGTAAACTTCCTGCACGGAAGTTAAGATTGTAAAAAGAAGTAAAATTCAAAAGACTTACGAGAGCGTGAACCATTCTAAATCGAGCTAAATTTTCAGTCAGAAAAAATCTCTTTCAATTCGTGAGTACGCTTACGGAACCAGCTTCCGCAATGTTCGACTACGTTTTGAAATTAGCACTTAGAATATCCTTTGCAGTACGTAGACCCTCACAGTGGCAATCAAGGGCGTAGGCGGCGTCGTGGAGAAATCGAGGTGGCCAAAAGGAATGTCGTTATCCTACAATTCGTCGGTAAGATATTTTCAATGAAATGATTTATTTAAGCTCACCCCAACCCACGCGAACGCCAATTGGTCTGCCAATTCCTTCGCCTTCTCAACAAGAATAGTGTGCTGATTCCCGCTAAGTTCGAAGGCACTCAAAAACCCTCCAACAAAACGAATGGTGTTCTCGAACACGCTTGAAACAGGGTGTTAGAAAAGCAGAACCGATTTATCACGGCTATTTTTGAGCATTACATACCTGACAGAGTTTGCCGTAATCGGAGAGTGAGCGAAGCTGATTTGACTGCTGAAGTTGAGCGCAGTGTTAAATATATCCTAGAGAATATATCTTTGAGAGGATTGGGAAAATGGAACGTAGATTGTGGACATACGTCCAAGCCCATGATCAACGCGGTATCCATGGCGTCGACGATGGAAGCACCGAAGCCGTTGAGCTCGTCGTTGAACGTTTCGCTGACGGGTTGCAGGTCGTCATGACCGAATGCAAATTTGCTGGAAGTTTGTAAATACGGATGGAATTCAGACGAAGAGAATTGAAAAACAGACGTGTATGCATCGAACGCCGAGGTGAACATCTTGACGATCAGCTGCTTGTTCGCAGCGGCAGTCGAGGGCAGTTGCAAGCCTGGTTTTTGCACCGTTTGAGCGAGGGCATTGGGCAGCGCGACCATGGTCACGGCGAGCACTACGGCACGCTTGAGGAGCATCATGGTGAAGAGAAGAGAGAGCAGGGAACGGTGGCACCGAGAAAGCGATAAAGAGCGACAGCAGACCTGGGTGGTCTGATTCTAAAGGAGCGTCTCCTCGATAAAGGGCAGCTGCTTTTATACCAGCTCTGCGACGTGTCGAAGCGCCAGTGCTTTTTTTTCTCTTTCGCTGGAGGAGCGCGGCCCTGGGGCGCGACGACATATTAATGGATCCCTTGCCAAAGGTAGCGTCCCACCCGGATCGACGGATTGCTATATTTCGCGCGTCTTCTTACCTTCTCTCTCTTCTCCGCCTCCTTTCCCCCTTATTTCATTCTTTCCATAGAACGCGTAACGCGTCAAATGCGCTAACTGGCGCGGCGCAATTGGCTAGTTCGGTTTGTGTCTCCTCCTGCGACGCGTTCGATAATAGTTCGGCTCGCGTGCAACACCCACCGAGCGCTGCGCGTGACTGCTGGCAGTCGTGCCACCGTGTATAGTGGAGTGAGGCGGAAGAGCCTGCCGCGGGGGGTCGCGCATCGAAGCCGTCGAAGAGGAGGTCGCGAGCACGAGGCCACGGCGGGAGCAGTGCATGTCGATCCTATCCCGTGGTCCCCTCTGAAAGAACGAATTGCTAAATAAACGAATAACTTCCCGTATAACGCTCGCCGTTCTGAATCATGGGTGAGCGAAAGAATTTAAGAGCGCGGCTCACCACGTTGTACAGCGTTCGCTGGGCCCGACATGTGATGAGATAGAGCTCGCGATCATGCAGAGGCGTTCTCACCAGCGCTAATATTACACGTTTTTCAATCTTCTTTCCTCTGAATAACGGTCCATGTTATTTGCGAGGCCTTTCCGAAGGTCAATTTAAGACCAGTCTTTGTTTGCTGGACGTCTGTCGATCCAGCGAATGATCCCTCTAAATTTGTAGGATCTTCTCGAAGACAGCCTCTAATTTCAGTCCTCGTCACGCAAGTTTAGGATGAGTAGAAAATACTTACGATATCGTCGATCCGATGACTTCAAAGTGTATTCTGGGAGTATTCTGGGAGTATTAAACAAACAACGATGGGTCCTTTCTCCCAAGAATACTTTCCAAAGGAACGTGACGAAATAAGGAATAACAGCAATACGATTGGGTATTTTCAATTCCAATGCGTTAGCTAAGTTCGTCAAGGACCTTATATACAACCGACTCACGATTAAATTTCCGGGAACCCGGTCTACAACTTGAGTCGGTCGGTCACTTTAGCTTGAGCCATCGTGGTTTAGAGAGATCGAGCGGACTAGAAAAAGCGATGTTCACTCGAAATGTTGACAAGAAACGAGCGCGCACCCACAGCATCGTACCCTGAGGAGAATCAGACGGCAACACTGGCCTGCGCGAGGCAGTTGAAGTCAACGACAAAACGAAAGAGATGCTCGTTCCAATCTAACGTTTACCGCGCCCGAAGTCAGGCATCTTCAACTCTCCAGGAAGGACGTGGGATACCGGAGAGCTGGGTGCTGAGCAGCGAGAGCGAAGGAATCAATTATCAAACGGTTGACACTATTTACATATACAACTCACTTGCACGCCATATCCAACCGAGTCGAATCCCAAACCAATAACCAATCTTACGCTCAGCTGCGTCTGCACACGCCTGTGCTCGAAGACCAGTGACGACGTAACAGGCGAAAGACTTTACTGCAAACTGCTTATTCTTCACCTGAGGGGACAGATACTTTCAAGAAAGAACTTGAAGTCACTATCGCGAGGCAAAAGATAAATTACTAACCACTACATCAGTACAAGTAAAAATACATGCGAATACATCCAGGTCGAAAAGGCTACAAGATTACTTTGGGTTTGCGCTCGAGAACTGAAAGAGGAATGTAAGCACATCGAAAA